TCTCTGTCAGTATATCTGGGACGGGACATTAAAATGTTTCATTTTTTGTTTTGTTTTGTTGTTGGGGGCAGTATTGCAAGGTATGCCAGAATTAAAAGATGTTACCAGGCCAGGCCTTCCTAAGATTGGTAGTTTTCTTAAACTTTAGTGTATTTGAATCAGCAGGAGAGACTTATTAACCCCCAGATTACCTGAGAATTTACATTTTTAACGAGTACCCAATTGATTCAGAGTTTTCTAGTCTAGGAACCATATATCAAAAAACACTTGTGTAGAGAAGTTACATATACAAATGCCTGTAAAACCTAAATAAAAAAAGGGGTGCCTGGGTGGCTCAGTTGGTTAAGTGTCTGCCTTTGGCTCAGGCATGATCCCAGGATACTGGGATTGAGCCCCACAACCTGCTGGGGCGCCTGGGTGACTCCGTTGTTAAGCATCTGCCTTTAGCTCAGGTCATGGTCCCAGGGTCCTGGGATCGAGCCCCACATTGGGCTCTCTGCCCAGCGGGAAGCCTGCTTCTCCCTCTTCCACTCCCCCTGCTAGTGTTCCCTCTCTCACTGTGACTCTCTCTGTCAAAAAACGAAAATCTTAAAAAATATATATATATATATATAATATTTAATTTATTTAAAAATAAAATATATATTATATATATGTATATATATATATACATATATATATGTAATATATATATTTGCCTGAATCAGACTGAGGATCAATAAAAAGTATGAGGGATCTGTGTGGGTTAGAAGAGAGCATGCCCAACCTAAATGTATTTATAATGTAGTTTCTTCTAAAATATTCTACAGGCCAGCTGAAAATTCTGAGGTAAAATTCCACTCTATGCCCCTACATATGTGATTTCTAGCTCTATGAACTTAAATTAAGCATGGCTTTCTATGAAGGGTGGAAATGTCATTCATTCATTCATTCATTCATTCATTACTTATCGAGTAACTTTCTTGGTGGATGGGATATATCAGTAAACAAAATAGAAAATTGTCCTTACAAAGAAATTTATAAGGCACCTATCTACTCTTTTATATTTTGTTCATTTAAAATTAAAATATAAATAATGCTAAGGCCTATCTTACTTATTAGTTAGAATTCCCAAGAATGCAACCATTTCATATCAAGCCAGAATAAATGTCTAGTTTCATAATCTCTTAATTAAATACTTACATTTTTTAGTTCATCTAACTGCTAAAAAATAGCTTGTCTGAAAATTCTAAGGTATAAATATAAAGACTGTGATTTGGGGAATACCAAACCTTAGCACCCCTTATCAAATATATGCAGAAGAGGTGGTCTATGAGGCTTTGAGAGATGAAAGATTTAAAGACTACAAACTCGAGGGGTGCCTGGGTAGCTCAGTAGTTAAGCATCTGAAGCCTCTGCCTTTAGCTCAGGTCATGATCGCAGGGTCCTGGGATAGAGCCCCACATTGGGCTCACTGCTCTGTGGGGAACCTGCTTCTCCCTCTTCCACTCCCTGTGCTGTGTTCCCTCTCTCACTGTGTCTCTCTCTGTCAAATAAATAAATAAAATCTTTAAAAAAAAATACAAACATGATCATTTAATACAACTTTTTCAATCTTACCTTCACGTAATTGTCTAAGGAGCTTTTGAAAAATATCAATGCCTGGCCCTACCTGTAGAGTTTATGTTTTCCCTTGTTCTGGAATAAGCTCAGGCATGCCCAGTTTAAAGGGCTTCCTGAATGATTCTAATGTGCAACGATGATTGAAAACCACTGATATGCACAGTGTTATTTATTTGTTCATTTCTTAGCAAACATTTAGTGCACACTACTATGAGCACGTGCTAGGCTATATTCATGAATGAACGAAATACTGCATATATCTCCATGACTATATAGTTCTTCAGTATTTCAAGGAACTATTTAAAACAAAACAAAACAAAACAAAACAAAACAAAACAAAAAAACAGAGGCTTTTATTAGGGATTTGAGTGACTGCTGAATGACCTTGCCTTCCACAGGTAGATGCTGGGTTATGCTTCTGAGTAACACCTTTTGGTGGGCAATTTTCTTGAAGTAACACTGAAATTGAAACAAGTTGAGAGTTTTTTAACATCACAAATAGATTTAGAATGCAATTTAAAAGGATATACTTGAAACATACTTTGTCCCAGATACATTTCAGATTCTTCTTAATTATAAAGAAAGGAAGTAGATACAGAAGGTGCAAGTACTATTACAAGTCAACTAACTTAAGCCTACATGAAAGAAAACAATGTATACAATGTTCTCAGCAGGACTTCCAAGCAGTTCACCCTCAGAGTACTAAAACAAGGCAAGATTTTAATTGGATGAGAAGGGTTGATTTTGAACTATGGAATAAATTACCTATTCAAAGAATTTAGAAAGGGTCTTCTATAACGCTGTTGATGATTTTAACCCATCTCAGCCCTGTTCCCTAGGAAATACTTTTATTATTTTCTGAATTCCTTTTAAGAAGTTTCTGATATTTAAAGGGAAAGATGTTCTTTCTAAATATTTATAAGACACCAGAGACCAAAAAATGCCTAGGTCTCTTCATAGATTGACTGTTCTTCTAGATTTATTTTTACTGTATTTTTTCTATATACACAGCTATATTATAAGATCTTTTTAACAACTCCCAGGATCCTAAGAAACCCTACAGGTTCTTTGATTAATCCCCCATCCACTCTCAACTCTATCTTTCCTTCCTTATCACCTCCCCTAATAAGCATAATTTTATTTACTTCTTCCCAATTTTGTCCATTATCCTGTAGGTATCTCTGATTGTTATTGTTGCTGCAGATTCTATGCATATGTGGCAACAGGCACCGTGGTTGTTATTTTGAATGCCTTGTTTCTAATCCTCAATATCCAATCTTATAAGGTAGGCATTTTCCTCAAACCATGGATATGGAAATAGAAGTGAAGAAAAGCAGAATAAACTTGTTCATATTTATTGAGTAGCCCGATGAGCCAGGAAGCCATGCCAGGTTTGTCTGAACTGAAATGCCTAGATTATTGTTCTAGCTCATCTCTCCAAGGCTAGTTCTATGAAGGGGTTCTCTTTTTCTTGATCATGAAGAATAACTTAAGCCTTTTTCACAAGTCTACTATTCCTGGCACATGCACTTTTTTTTAGACCTTTCTAAAGGTAAACTTCATTTCCTGTGACTATTCCTCACGTGTGGTAATTCTTAACTGCCTTTGCTTGCCTTGTTACAGTTCCTTGCAAACGGATGCACGTGGGTCCCACGGGGTTGACTAAACTCTCTGGGTGTTGTGTGTGCAGCTTCAAGTTGAGTTGCACCCTATCTGCCTTATTCTAGAGCAATGCTTCTATTAATACCGCCTGAGGGCCCATCAGCCTTTTTGGCAGCCACATTACTGTTAACTCCTACTGAGCTCATTGTCAACTAAATGCCTCAATCTCTTTCACAACTGCTGTCGTTAAGTCCTATCACCCTCAGTCCTACCTTTGTGTATTTTGTTTCTGAATCCAAGTTTCAGGCCTTAACAATTATCCATAATGAATGTAATAATATTAGAGCCACCCCATTGTTCCAGACTTCTGGCATTTTTCAGTATTTGTTAGCCTCTGCATGTGTGGGGGGGGAGGCGGGCGGGGGGGTGGGCACTGCAGAACATAGTGCAGAGAGATTCTGAATCCACATTTGTTATAGTCACTCTCCCTCATGACTTAAAGCTTTTGTCTTTCCAGAACAGTCACATAATTTTAACTTATGTTTAATTTATTTATACATTTCTTAACTGAGTAGGACTTGGGGCTGACCACCAAAAACTTCTGTTCAGGATAAAGACAATGTCCCTGAGGGAGATAGAGCTTTTTGGCTATAATGTGAGCTGTGCCTCTCAATGTCCTGTACTCGGTATGCCCTCAACTATTATGCGGATACTGTTGGCTTCATGTATGGGTTGCGAATAATTGTAGAGATTTTAAGAGTTGGAACTCAGGTAAGCTCAGGTAAGCAAAAAGTCAGGAGCAGCTTCAAGCAGTCAAATTGTTACTAGGTTGTTCACTCAAATTAAATTGTCCAAACATACTAAATTCGGAGGAAAATAAAAAGCTACCAAACCCTGGGAGCATAAGAGGGGATTAACACTGTATAATAATTTTGTCACCAAAAGAATCACTACCTGTTTAAAACGATGTAAATACTATGACTGAACGCGCTGCAAAGTTTCTATGTGAGATCAGAGATGAAAAATATATTTGAAGCGAAACAAAATTTTCTGTCTTTCCTATCCCTTGGTCTTATTCTCTTTTGTCTCTTTCCCTCAATTCTTAGACAAAAACTAAGTGATCTAAAAAGGAAAAAAAAAAAAAAAAAGGCAAGAATGTTCCATGCCAGATAGTTTTTAATCTTCTTCCTCTAACAGTTTCCAAGAAACTAAAAAGGGAAAAGTGGAGAGAGGAGAAAGATAATCAGGGTTGATTGTGAATCTGGGAAAAGTCTCAACTATGTATTGAGATTCACAAAAATGAAATATGAAAGATCACAAGAGAGGAAATGAATAACCATTTTGCCCGTTGCCAGTGTTCTGCTCCCCATTCTTCCAGCTGTGGCCGAGGCTTGAGCTTCACCCTTCAGACTGGAGTTGGAGGCTCATGCACACGTCCCAGCTGCTGTGTTCTCTGGTACTGTAGTTTGCCTTTCTTTAGAATGCCCTAAAGATAGCATTCTTAGTAAACATACTGTCAGCCAGAGAATTGCATCGGGGGATGCAACCATCCTCTCTCATAGGAAAGGCTTTTTCACCTGCAGGGTGTAAACTATGCGAAATATACAGCCTTTTTTTTTTTTTTCTTTTTTAATTGTAACATCAGCAACCAAAAAAAAGTTCCTGATTCAGCTCTCCAAATACTCTTCTCATCTCTGCAGAGGATTCGATGTCATGGACCTATGACAGTCATCTTCACAATACGTTCTCTGTGCATGGCACAGTGGATGGCACACACCAGGCATTCAACCAATATTTGCTGACTGAATGGATGCACTTTTAGCTGAGCCACCTGGGATGAGTTGGGACTTTTGGCATAAGTAAGAATGAGCAGATACTTGATGCTCAAACACACCTGTGGTAGTGAGCAGTGCGCGTGGCCAGGAAAGGAATTCTGTCAGGTTTCGCAGTTGCATTGCTGGTGGTGATCTCGCCATGTTTTCCAGACATTGGGTTGAATTCTTCAAGATGATATAATAGAACATTTCATATTGGAGTATATAGAAATCCAACCTTCCCTTGAGCCCTGAGAGTTTCTCATTCACTTGACTTGATAAGGGACCCAAAAGCTTGCATTTTTATTAAGTTCCCAGGCTGTGTTGATGCTGTTGGTTGAAAACCACTGAAATAATCCAACCCCAAAACGACAATGAGGAAACCCAGGGGAGAGTGTGGATAAAGAAACATACCAGTACAAGTACTCAAGCAGCACCCACATCCTCCTTCCAGCTGAGGCATTTTCGTTTTCTTACATGGCATCTTCAAGTAAAGAAAAGCAGAAGGAAGAACAAGTGTTGGGGAGACCTTAGTGAAGTAAAAGCAGCACCAGTAAACGAGGATAGCTCTTATGTGAAATTTGTGGATTAAACAGAAATTTTTTACTTGTTCTGACATTCTCCGGGGGGGAGGGAGAGGTTCTATGATCTCTGCTGCTAGCTTCTTCCACATCTAAAAACATTCAGAACATTCCTGCTACAAACTTAAGCCCATTTCCATTGCTAATGAGGCATTCTATATTATACCACTCAGGAGTTGATGTTGGAAAATATATGTGTCTATGAAGTAACTACATTTAAAAAAATAAAATTGAAATAAAAATAATTAAATGCAGCCAGCTGCTTTAAGCAACCATTTCATCACATGGTAAGAAAAGTATTAAAAAACCATCCAAAATCCGTTCTCCTCAGTTACTTCTTGCCTTACTGCTTCACTACAATGAGCTGTATAAGTTACTGAAACCACTGTCTCCATGCATTTCTTATTCTATGGCCAGTTGTGTGTCCTTTTGATGAATTGAGCCATCTTCATTTATTCCTTTGTTCTCATCTCACTTTGCTTTATTTACAAACAAAAAAGAGCAAACAAAGCCTATACTTAGTCACCAAAAAAGGTAAATTTCTCTACTCATTAGTCTCATTGAAGACAGTATTGGAAAGGGAATTAAGTGGGTCATGTACAGATTCTTAGGATGTGAAGAATTATACTGATCCCAAAGAATTAAATACAACATCTTCCTCAATCTTTGAAGTTATTTTATATGACCCAAACTTCTCACAGATGCACTTATTTGTTCTTGAAAAGATGAGATGAATTGGCATAAAACAAACCCATATATACACATTGTCTACAATAAACACATATATACATATATACAATAAAATCATTTATGTTTATGAGAAGAAAGCTTGGTTGTACTTGTCCAGACAACCAGACAGCCTTGTGTTGCCCATACTGTGAAATAAGTCTATGAGAGGATGCACAGATTTATGAATGAGGAAGACTCATGATTTATTTTGGTTAATGCCCTGATTTTGTTGGTTTGCTTTTAGTTTACCTTCCTTTTACCTATATTTGGGTAGATGATTCTAATAGATGAATAGTTGTCCTTACACTGTATGGAAGTGTGCAAACTTGAAATGCTAAATAACAAAACAATGTCTTAACTCCCAAACACTAATCTTCTTACATAGTACGCAAGAATACGTCTAGCTGTACAGAATATATTCCCTGCAACTTTCAGCATGTAAGGAAACTCAGGCTGGGATAAATAATAGAAAAAGGGATTTAATAAAATGTACACACACAAACATGTTTATAGCTAAAAAAATTGGGGCACCTGGGTGGCTCAGTGGGTTATGCCTCTGCCTTCGGCTCAGGTCATGATTTCAGAGTCCTGGGATCAAGCCCTACATTGGTCTCTCTGCTCAACAGGGAGTCTGCTTCTCTCCCTCTCTCTCTCTCTCTCAATCTTTCTCTCTGCCTGCCTCTCTGCCTACTTGTGCTCTCTCTCTCTCTCTCTCAAATAAATAAATAAAATCTTTTAAAAAATGCTAATAATAAGTATTTTTCCTCTGTCATATCACTATACATTATTGATAATTGTCATACTTGGTGCATTTTTCTGAAGTTACCAGAGAATTGAACTTTGCTGTGTGTTAATATTATTACTCCATATATACCTGATTATATGTGCTCACTATATTCTTAAGAAGGTACATTGGAATAATAAGAATTTTGGAAGTAGAAATCTAATTTAACTATCTATCCTGTGCTAGTGTTTTTCAAACTGTCATTAAACAGGAAAAAAACAACAACAGCAAACCAGTTTATTAGCACACACACACTCACAAACACACATAACTAACACAAAATGTCACATGAAAATTTATGCTAAACGAGATGAATTCTGACATTTTCTATCCTATCTTGTTTTATTTTTTAAATTATTTAAATTAAATAACAGTACTATTAATAATTTAAAATTATTTAAATTAAATAATTAAAGATTATTGGTCATGCCTTACTAAATTAATTTCAGTGTACACTAAATTTCACAAAAATCTCATCACTTGCAAAACACTGTTGTTTTTAGGAAATTCTATAATGATGATCAAATAATCCTTTAGTATAGTGATTACCCTCTGATTTGTCCTTGGACCAATTTAAGGTTTTGCAATAATGGGTCTTCAAAATATATGCTCACTTCTCTCTGACTAGTGTGTATCTGAAGGTAACTACAAAATATATGTTGTACAAATGAAGACACTACAGTATTTGATAATGTTATGGTTGCTTAAGATGCCATCTTTAATGAACACTTTGCAGTTCACCAAACTGGTGAGCAGAGTGTGCAGCCTACTGTCTCCAAGCCCAGTACCTTTGTGCTTCCATTCCCTTGGGCTTCTCTATACTTGACTTTCTATATATTAGATCATTCCTAAGAGAAGTCTAAAAAAGCATCTCTAGCAATCTTTAATTCATATGATTAAAAATTCAAAAGAAGCCCTTGTACCAGCTGTTAAACTATGTTCGTAAGCTGTAGTTCAGAGTCCAGGCCCCAGCAAATTGAAGGTTAGGTTAACAGGATTATTCAGTGGAAGTGCATTAAACTGGAGCAACTGGAACAGCGGGTGGACTGTTTTATACACGCTCATTTGCAGAAGATAAACTAAGGATGAGCAAACTTACCGCGTTGGAAATCTTGCCATCCCATTCTTTTGCCTCTTTTCTGCAGTGTGGCTTAAAAGGGGAAGCAGATGAAATTAACCATCATGTTTATTTACTATGTATGCAGATAAAAAGGAGAAAAGCCACATCCATTGTTACATGGAATCTTATTTGAAAATGACCAAATGAGTTTCTCTTTTCAGATTTTAACGTTCTCAAATAAGTCTGAAGTTTCAGAAGAAATTTTTTTTTTTGCTGCCCCAAACTGAAATGTGTTCACATGAAAATTTGGGAAACACCAAAAATTAAAATGAGACTTTAGTTAGAATATTGATGCCCTTATGCTTCTGTGACAGAGTAGTAAGTTTTCTTTATGGCATCAATCCCCTACTTGCAAAAACTCAGCAAAGCTACGTCATAAGATAGAATGTTTGAGAATTCAAAATTCGTAGTCCCGAAGCTGGTTCTGGCGTGGGTATTCTCTAGCAGCATGCCCTTAGGGAGCCACTTAAACTCTCTGGGCCTCACTTTTCTCACTTCTAAAATGAGAGAAATGGACAATATGACTTTCTTCTGTGGACAAAGGATCCTTTCTTTTGTAAGTTTCTTTGCTTCTAAGTTTATGCCTAAAGTGATTGTGGGCTAGATCTCCTCCTTGTTGGCTGATAAATGATCAGGGACAAAAGAGATGAGAAACACAAAATCTCTTTGATCTTAAATGAACTTGAATTTCTTTTTTTTTTCCTCCTCAAGAGTTACTTACTGCATTGGAAAAGGGAAAGAAGAGTTCTCCAGATGAGAGTGAAGAAAATGACACAAATTAGTAATCTGGGTTTAGAAAATGTAAAATAAAATCGGTGGAGATGAATTTAAACAGATGCTTCTGCCACACTATGTAGTAAACATAAATTAGGAAAAGAGTGAATGAAACTTTTAAAATCATGAACATTAACTTCAACAGAATGAGAAAGGTATCACACACACACACACACACACCAAAAAAACCAATATTTTGCTTAAAAACAGGATACAAAATATAAAAAAAAAAGTTCTTGTGAAAACTCAGACCAAAGTTTTGAAAAAAATTCAAGAAAGTATCAAAACTAAAAATATTTGAAAGATCGCTTTTAGTCAGTAAACATCATGAGATGCTACTTTAAATAGGTTTTTGAAAAAAGTGGTATAGCTGTACACTACAGTTATGACAGTTCAAACCTCCTTAGAATAATTAGTTAAGTATAACTTACTAGTTGGCTTTTTCTATAGGGATGCTTAATCTCAGCATCTTTTTTATATGGAATGAAGTTTCCTCTTTATCTATGGAGCTGCTCAATACACAGTGTCCTGAAAGCAAGATAAATACGAAAAATATGATCGGGATGCCTGGGTGGCTCAGTCGTTTAAGCATTTCCCTTCAGCTCGGGTCATGATCCCAAGGTCCTGGTATCGAGTCCCACATCAGGCTCCTTGCTCAGTGGGGAGCCCACCTCTCTCTCTCTGCCTCCTGCTCCCCCTGCTTGTATACACTTTCTCTCTCCTTAATGAATAAATAAAACCTTTTAAAAAAATAAAAATACAATAAAGTTCCTTGGATAAAAACATGCATTCATTAAGAAGCATTTGTCCTTCATTTATTGGATTCAGAGACATTTGTGCATGTTTAAATTTTTCTCATATCTATACAATAGAGACTCATGTATCAAATCAAGGTGGCCAACCAAATATAAGAGCTAAGGAGTAGGAAGAAAAGCTGGCTCCAGATTACCACCCCAATTACGTTGTGAATCTTGGCAAACAACTACATGTGCCTGATCTCTAGTTTTCAGATCATTGAAGAAAATGGTCATTCATATTGTGAATTTAAATGGATTAATACATACAATGCTCACCATATTGGAATTACTCAATATGTTATTAGTGTTTTTCCTAAGATGGATCTAGCAGTAATAATTTTTGCAGAAAGAAATCTCCCACAGTATATCATAAATAACAGCTCTTTACTTCATATCATATTCTAGTTTCCAATGGAGAGAAACTTTAAAGTACAGAAATTATATTCAAGACCTTTTAAATGATTAGGAATATTGTAAACTGTGGATTAAAGGGACTGTTTCTGTTAATGGAGAGAAAGCGCACTTCAGAAGAAAGGAGAAGGAAGACAGCATCACTTCTGTTGTTCTCAAACAGCTTCCTGTGTGGAGCACTCTTTCAGCAAACATCTGAACAGAATGCACAATGGCAGCAGCGCTCATGGTGCTGTATCTTACTAGCAGGGAAGAGGTAAATATTAAATGAAAGTACTAAATGATACACTGAGTTATAAGGCAATAACAGGTATGGAAATATAAGTAGAGCAAACTCATTCTGAAAAAAATGTGAGCATATGTGAAGGGGTACAGATTACAGCATTAAACAGGGTGGTCAGTACGAACCTCAGAGAGAAAGGTGAATTTTACACAAAAGCTTAAAGAAGGTAAGGGCACTGTCCAGGAGATTGACTGGGGGTGTGATGCTAAGGTAGGACATAGGCAAACCAAAGTCTCAAGATGAGAATGTGAAGCCCTATCTGTTGAACAAGAAACCCAGTAGGAATGGAATGGCATATCAAGAGGGAAATAAAGAAATGAGAGCAAAATAACAGATGTGAGATCATTGGGGGGGCTTCTGGAACATGTAGGGACTTGGGCTTTTAGTCTGGATGAAATGAGGGCCAGGGGGCTTTCAGGGTCCTGAAAAGGAGGAACAAGCTATACTTCAGTCAAACAGGATTAAACTTGCTGCTATTTATTCTCAGCAGGAAGCAGTGAAACATGTTTGGAGAGACTATTTCAATAATCTAAGAGGGGGGCACCTGGGTGGCTCAGTGGGTTAAGCCTCTGCCTTTGGCTCAGGTCATGATCTCAGGGTCCTGGGATCGAGCCCCATGTCGGGCTCTCTGCTCAGCAGGGAGCCTACTTCCCCCCTCTCTCTCTGCCTGCCTCTCTGCCTACTTGTGATCTCTGTCTGTCAAATAAATAAATAAAAATCTTAAAAAAAATAATCCAGGAGGAACACCAGCATGCTATTAGTAGAGAAGGTAAGAAGAAGTCGTGTTCTGGATATATTTTCAAATCTGAGACAACAGATTTGATAATGAAGTAGATGCATGCTTTGAGAGAGAAAGTAATGAAAGAGGATACCATGGCTGGGATCTGAATGACAGTGGGATGGAATTTCCATTACCTGAACTGTGAAAGTTTATGGGGAAAACAAGTAACCTCTAGGAGGAAACATAAAGAATTGGGTTTGTGCATATTAACTGTGAGAAGCCCATTAGATATCCCAGTGTCTGTGTAGAAATGCACAAGGAGGTTTGGGGAAGAGGGTTTATCTGAAAACCTATATTTAGCTTTCTTCCACTTAAACTTAGAGTTCACCAGTGAACTGATAGTATCAAAGCCATGAAGAATAGGTAAGGTCACCTAAAGGAATGAGGGTAGAAAGAAAGGGGAGTTCAAGGACTGAGGCATGGGACCATCCAGCATTTAGAGATGACTACCTGAGCCCTGTGTCTCAGGCCCTGGATACTCAAACATTCCAGACACACCAGGTCCACTTAAAACACTATGCTTTGACTTATATTCACTCCTTCCATCTGACCCATAAAATCATCTATCAGAAATCTTTCTGTCCTCCCGGAACCACCTACATATCTCAGAAGATATTTCTCTAATTGTGCTCATTCTCTGTGATTGCAGAACACTTGCATTTTGCCCTACACTACCTGTAGACACCTGCCCCCTTTAGCTGATTGGGAGGGCTCAGATGGCAGCAACCCTAGCATTCCCATTACCACCACCTATGAAAATGACATCAGTGAGTGTTTCATATGTGCCAGGCATGCTCTTAAGCTCATTGAAAACATAATCTCCCTAAATTCCTTAACTCACCTACTCTTATTTTACAGAAGAAGAAATTGAGACTCGAGAACTAAGACAAATTATTTGAAGACTCCTAGCTAGAAAGCAGCAGAACTGAATTTCAGTATCAAGTCTCAACTGTTCTAATGACCTTGACCACTGCCTGGCACCTTCATGTTATTCATTTTATAATTTGCTGGACTTGGTAAATATTTTATAAAAGTTGCTGGATAAATAGGTGAATGAGTTCTTGAATTAATAGCTCTTCTTTCCTTTTGGTAACCATAATAAAACCTTGACTAACAGAAATTAATTGTGCACCTTTCAATTAATTAGGATTTTTAATTTTCTTGTTATAGTCTATTTTTAATAAAACATGGCCAATCACAGAACATTTTGCTTTAGTTTTTCAATTAGAATAAATTCCTGAAACATTCCTTTGAGGTGAGGGCAAAATTATCTGTGTTCCCCATACATTGGACTTTGCCTTGGGTAATATTCTTTCTTGAGACATTATGATTAGGACCACAGGATCATGTGATCTCAAACTTTCAAGGAAAGATATATATCATATTCCCCATGCAATTCACCTGGAAACACTTTTAAAAATATTTTAGAGTCATTTTTGGCAACATGAATCAAAGTATACTTTTTAATTAAATCTTTAGCTAATTAGAAACCCCAATCATAGAATGTCTTCTTCGCCAAATGTAACAAGACGCTCACAGTATCCCATCTTCATCCTGCAGACTTTGTGGTATGATCTGGCTGAATTCCCCCTGCACCCATTTGCCTCTGTGTGCTTGAGGGCTTATTCCGTGCACTTGCGACCACCCAGAAATACTAGGAGTTAACACACTGCCACCACTGCCTCCACTCCACTCCTTCAGCCCCACCTCTACCCAATAAATCTTTCATTCAGTGCCTCTAAGGAGATGGTATATAAATACCTCGGCTCCCTCACCTCTAGGATAGGATTATTCTGATGTCTGTTTCCCACTATATTCTAGGATCCTCTGCAGTGTCAAGTGCCAGCCACACCCTGGGATAGCTGGCTAATAAAGCCCTCCTTGGTGCATGACTTCACTTCTCTCAGTCTCGATCCTGCCACCTTCAATTAGTGTTTCCTGCACCTTCCAAGTAAACGGCTTGCCCTCACATCCTTATCTCAGGGTTGGCTGCTGGGGCAACCAAAAATAAGACATGAGAATTCTATTTATCTGAGTTTTTACTGCAGCAATAGAGCTTCC